GAGTGATTCGTTGCATAGTTTTTCCGCGTCTCTTTAGGGCAAGCAGAGTTAAGCAATTTGATGGGTTGATTGGTTAATTGGTCATAATGTGGCCCAAAATATGACCTCTGTCACCAGTCTTACGCCAAGTTTGTTCAACTTTTTTTGCTCTTAAGTCATATTGTTGGCTTCCTGACTTGGTTAGCTAGCTTTTAGGCTTTGTTTCAGCTATGGACTCTAAATTTTAATTATGGTCACAAATTAGTGCTAATTAATTAGCTCTTAAGTAGCGTTAGTACAGAATTTCATGCTCTTAAGCAGTCATTTTGTGCAGTGAAACTCATAGATATGGTGTTAGAAAGAAAAATAATCCCGGACAAGACAATTTAATCAAATACACTCAAACGTCGTTATGTGACCTAAAATTTTACCTTTGACCCTTGTCACCTTTGAACCACTCTTAAGCAAGGTTTGTTCAACTTTTGTCGCTCTTAAGTGATATTTTGGGTTTCCTGACTTGGTTAGCTAGCTTTTAGGCTTTGTTTCAGTTATGGACACTAAATTTTAATTATGGCCATTGATTAGTGACCTTTGACCTTTGTCACCTTTGAACGAGTCTTAAGCAAGGTTTGTTCAACTTTTGTCGCTCTTAAGTGATATTTTTGGTTTCATGACTTGGTTAGCTAGCTTTCAGGCTTTGTTTCAGTTATGGACTCTAAATATTAATTACGGTCACTAATTAGTGCTAATTAATTAAGCTCTTAAGAAGCATTAGCACAACATTGTATGCTCTTAAGTCATGCATTCTGTTTCTTAGTGTTAAGTGTGAAACGCTTGCAAAAAAATTGTAGATGGACATTGAATTTTAACTCCCATTAAATATGGGAGGGTTAGGGGGAGCGCTCCCAGGTATATGCACAGGTTACAAAACTTAAGACTTGGCTTTCCAAAATGATCTAGGGGTAAAATATGTATTGTAGACCTCAAACCTTTTGGACTTCGTACGAAGTGATTCTCTTGGTCATATCTGGGATATGTACCACATTTAATGGCCAAACATGAAGAAAAACCGCAATTTTGTGCGCTTTTGGTCACGGCCATCTTGGATTGGATACCAAGCCTCATCAAAGAGACTATTTTTGCTCGAGGGGGTTTCAAGCTGAAGAAACGGAGAGAGCTGGCTTACCCTGAATGCAAGTAGTTGGCCATTTAATAGAGAATGAGAGATTTACAATAGGGAAAATTCACCAACTTTGACTTATGATTTCGCAGGTGTATATTTTCTGTTTTATTCACCATATCTTACAATTGTGCTATTTCATGGTCTTCACACTGGGGCACAGGAAGACCCCCACTAACATCACCAATCACCACCATTTTCATCCAAACCCCAGACTCGCCACAATAGGTGGCTGAAAATTGACCAAAAATGACCTGAAAAATGGCAAAATTGGCCAAAAATCAGCCAGAGCCTGTTTCTCAATAACGGTGAAATTTTGAAATCGGCCCTTCTGGCTGTGAAGTAGTCAGGAGGAGTCCATAAAATGCCCCAGAGATGAACTCGATCTGCCGACCCTCCATCTTCCCGATTCTGCACGATTTTGCATGGTTTTCTCATGGAATGACGCTTACTAAACAACAACAGCGACATAATTTCGACAAAGTGAGAAAATGACCCGTCCTCACGACAGCAATTTTAAAACTGTGTTTTAAAGTGACTTTTTTAGTCCCTCTACCACCGTGTGCAATCCCAACGATTTAAGATACATTTCCTCGGTTGTTCTTTCTATTTACATAATGGACAGTCTTCGGCCATTATCCATCACTTAAACGCATTTCATTATCAGTTTTATTGTGTATGACTCTTCCCAGATAAACATTACCGTTGCGAGCCAGATTGTCTGCAGACTCATTGCCTACTATGCCAACATGGGATGGTATCCATGTAAATTCTATGGTTTTATTATACGCCCACATTGAAATGTGGTCGTATATTGTCGTCGCCCCCGTCCGGATTGTGGACGCTCTAGAGGCTAAAGTTAATATCCGATTGACTCTACATTTATACATAGTGTTTAAGGTCATGAGACGAAGTTAATATCCGATTGACTTTAAATTTATGCACAGTGTTTAAGGCCATGAGACGAAGAAGCCTATTGGTTTTCGGCTATTTCTGATAATTAATGCCAGAGTTATGGCCCTTGATCACTTCAAAATATCCAATAAAACATTTGACACATTGCATTTGGCGTTTTACATTTAACTTTGGCCTTAGACGTAATTTGACTTTATCATTCCCGGTATTAAGACTTTGTACATTGTACTTTTTACACGTAATCAATAGAAAATACATTTTAGCAGAGCATTTGATATTGACAGCGATACCCCTCCATAGAGACGAACAAGTATATTGATTTTCAATGGATTTTGATAACTTGAACGGCCAAATTCATGATATTAAATGTGTATACTAAACGTTGGCATGCAACAGAACTAAAAGCCAAACGAATTCTAATGATTTTCTGATAATTACTTATTGAGTTGTTACTCTTAATCAGATTTCAGTGTTTTATAAATGTTTCATTACCGACAATATACACGGACGTTTTTATTTGGTGTTTTTACCAATTTTCAACCCATTAAGTGTAAATAATTTAATTAAATCGACCTGTCCATAATATCATATTATTATATGAACGCTCTAACGCCAAAAGTTATGATCCGATAGTTTTAAAATTAATATATGTTGTTCACATTGGTGAGATAAAGAAGCCTATTGAATTTCAGCAATTTCCGTTTATTACGTCTAGAGTTATGGCCTTTGTTTCACTTTATTGAACCTTGTGAACGCTCTAACGTCAAAATTTATTATTCGATCTTTCTGAAAATTACATGCATTTTTTAAATAGTGAAATGAAGAAGCCTATTGAATTTCAACAATTTCCCTTTCTTACGTCTAGTGTTATGGCCCTTGTTTCACTTTATTGAACATTGTGAACGCTCCAATGCCAAAAGTTATCACCCGATCTTTGTGAAATTTATATGCATTATTTAAATTAGTGAGACGAAGAAGCCTATTGAATTTCGGCAATTTCCGTTTATTGCGTCTAGAGTTATGTCCCTTGTTTCACTTTATTGAACCTTGTGAACGCTCTAACGTCAAATGTTATCATTCGATCTTTCTGAAAATTATATGCATTATTTAAATTAGTGAGTCGAAGTAGCCTATTGAATTTCAGCAATTTCCGTTTATTACGTCTAGAGTAATGGCCCTTGTTTCACTTTATTGAACCTTGTGAACGCTGCAACGCGAAAAATTATCATCCGATCTTTCTGAAATTTAAATGCATTATTTAAATTAGTGAAACGAAGAAGCCCATTGAATTTCAGCAATTTCTATAAACTACTTCCAAAGTTTCACTTTGTTGAACCTTGTGAACGCTCTAACGTCAAATGTTATCATTCGATCTTTCTGAAATTTATATGCATTATTTAAAATAGTGAAACCACAAAGCCTATTGAATTTCGACAATTTACAATAATTACTTCTAGAGTTATGGCCCTTGTTTCATTTTGTTCAACCTTGTCAATGCTCGATTGATGAAAGTTATCATCCAATATGTATGAAATTTATATGCATCTTAATTTCAGCAGTTTTCATCAATTATTTCTAGAGTTATGGCCCTTGTTTTACTTTGTGAACCCTGTGAATGTTTGAATGGCAAAAGTAATCATCCGATCTGTATAAAATTTATGTGCATTATTTAAATTAGTAAAACGAAAAAGCTTGTCAAATGTCAACAATTTCTGTAAACTACTTCCAAAGTTGAGGCCCTTGTTTCAGTTTGTAAAACCTTGTGAAGCCACAAACGACAAAAATTATGATCTGAATTGTATGGAACGTCTTGTAAAGGCCCCCAATTACCTAAAAAGGAATAAATAAGCGACAACCCTTGTCGACCGTCGGACGATTTAGCTGCTGTGGGCGTATGTTTCGTTGCCTGGCAACCTATCTTTGAAAAACAATGACTATAGTAATGACTATAGTCCCAAGTTTCTTTAAAAACAGCGCATTTGAAGGCGTGCAGCCGAGGTCAAATGAAAGTATGAAAATGCCGAGGTAGGCGACAAAATGAAATGGGGTATAACGTCCTACTGCTCCGACTGGGCTAAGTCCTCCCACTACTAAAGACCCCTACGTGCCAGCGAATTATTGAAATAAAATTGAACCATATGTTAGTCCCGAAATGACCTAGTTGTTTGTGTCGAGTGGACGTTAACCCCCATTTCTCTCTCGCTCCCCCTTGACAGACCCTCTGTCCTACATCAATGACTAGTGTTATCCATGCCGGAAATTCCCGATGAACTTCCTCGGCCAACACAAATTTACAAAATTGAAAACAAATTTACAAAATTAAAAATTAGTCAACAAAATTAAAAAATATTCTACAAAATTAAAAAATTATTTTGCAAAATTAAAAAATTATGCTACAAAATTAAAAATTATGCTACAAAATTAAAAATTATGCTACAAAATTAAAAATATGCTACAAAATTAAAAACTATGCTACAAAATTAAAAATTATGCTACAAAATTAAAAATTATGCTACAAAATTAAAAATTATGCTACATAATTTAAAAATAACCGTGAACAATAAGGATACTTCTTTTAAAAACTGAGCCTTTGTCAGCATGTGTATGACATATTAAATTCTGGAGATAAATCTTGAATCGGGTTTTAACAGCCCTGTCGATTTTCTCTGATATCCGTTCATCTCTTGCAAAATGTGTGTGTACCTAGCATGGCAACCGCTTGTTGACCAAGAAATTATACACCGAATATTTTTTAGATAGTATGTAGTTGTTATTCCTTTAATTGTGGTAGCTGTTATAGTGTTAAAGTAAATCATATCCAGATTTATAAAGTTGTTTCTGTTTTCATGGAAATAACCATCAAGGTTACAATTTCTGTGTAATGTGTGTGCATAAGATAATCAATTTCAAAACATTTTATTTCCAGGTAAAGAAAAAAAGAATCTACCCGAAGGCGCCTTTCTTTTACTCCAATTACACGATGAGTTAATATATGAGGTTTCTGGTGCAGAAATTGAAAACGTTGTCAAAGTAATCAAACAACAAATGGAAAATGCTATGAAACTTTCAGTTCTACTTTCAGTGAAAATGAAGATGGGTAAAAGTTGGGGTAGTCTGGAATAGATTATTTGTTGTATTAATTGTTAAATTAAACTTTCAGTAATGATTAAGATGTTTGGATTGATGTGATGGTCTATATATGATTCAATTCTTCTATTTGATGACGTCTGGAGTTGAAACATGGTTGAATAATGTTTTTGTAAAAGTTTCTAAATATATACCAGTCAATCTAGCACACATACCGAGTAACATTACAAATACCGGGCATCCCAACTGATCTTGAATTGTGGACGCTCTGGAGACTAAAGTTGATATCCGATTGACTTCAAATTCATACACATTGGTTAAGGTTATGTGATGTTGATGACCTTGAAACAACTGGTGGACGCTCCAGGGACAAAAATTATCATCCGATTGATTATGCACAGTATTTAAGGCCATGGGACAACGAAGCCTAATGATTTCCAAGGGTTTCTAATGAATACTGCCCTTGATTTACAACAGCTGAATTCATGACTTTTGTATACTAAACGTTAGCATGCGGCAGAACTAGACGCCAAACAAATTGTAACGATTTCTGATAATAATCTAATGGGTTGTTACTCTTAAAGGGGCATTAGGTAAGATTAGATAATGAACTGACAGTTCTCGCTATAATAGTTAAAAAATAGATAATAAAAACAAAATATGCTGAAAAGTTCAGGAAAATTGGTTCACTCTGAACCGAGATATTAGCGATTCAATTTTAGGCTAGTTTCGATCGTCATTTCTACCGTTGGTACTAGAGGGACTCTATCCGAACTACATGATACATCATGGTTTAGAGACTCTATCCGAACTACAGGGTTCATCATGATTTAGATATCCTCTACCCCCGGTCTGTCCCTGGTAGTTTCAAGGCCGATAATCAAGGCCTGTTATTCATTTCACGACAGGCTCTTGTGATTGCCACAGTAGTACAGTTTTTCACAAGGGGAACGAGGGTCCCTGAACTTAGCCTCGCGAGGGGTTACCACTCTATTTGGGATCCGGTGGGGTTCTCTCCCTGCTTTTATAAAACTGTTCGTAAAAATGTTTTCAGTAATTTGTCCTGATTTTTCTAGCTTACGCAAAATGTGATGTGTGACAATCCTATCTGAAATTGAGTTTTGAAGCAATTATTGAATTCAGTAATCGTAAAAACCTTATTACAAGCAATATCCACAAGGACAGGCATCGCCATTTTGTTGATTTATATTTAAACCATCTGGACCATTCATAATTAGTATTTTTTAAATAGAACCCAACTACCACCAAACCCATATATACCACATATTACAAGTCAACCCCAACGGAAAGAAATGAAGATTAATTAAAATTCCACCATTTTGGATTTCATTTTGCCGGCCATTTTGAATTTCTACCATCAAGAATTCTCGATTTAAAAAAAAAATGGTATTATATTACCAAATTTGGCAGTCATTTGGAAAGAAATGCCCGCCAGCAAATGAAAAATACATTTTTTTAATTGATGTTTGTCAAATTCGATTTTTCGACACATTTCGCTTGCATAACCACTCTGTGTTTGATTAATTTAAAAAGAAATTATTTATCCCCCCACCACTGAAAGACACTGATTAATTAAAATTCCACCATTTTTGATTTCATTTTGCCGGCCATTTTGAATTTCTACCATGAAGAATTCTCGAGTGTTGGAGTTTATCGCTGCCCCCCCCCCCCTTTTTTTTTACCAAATTAATGTTGTTGGGTTTTTCTTTGCTTTTTTTTAAAAAAATGGTATTATATTACCAAATTTGGCAGTCATTTGGAAAAAAATGCCAGCCACCAAATGAAAAATACATTTTTTAAATTGATGTTTGTCACATTCGATTTTTCGACACATTTCGCTTGCATAACCACTCTGTGTTTGATGAATTTAAAAAGAAATTATTTATCTGACTCCCCCCCCCCCCCCCCCAGCCACTGAAAGACACTGATTACGAGTTACCGCTCTCTGATAATTCCTGAAGAACGCCAAATTGAATTCTGTTAATCATGTCATTTTGCCTTGGCCGATTTTGAGTATGATTTTGTCTTACATATTTATCATTGAACCAAACTGCATTGGTTTCTTTTCCTATTTGTTTAGGATAAATCGTAGCCCGGTAGTGCCGGTTATTTTTAGATTTTTAGATATATTTTTCTCCCTTCTTTTATGGCATATTCTTTGACGATCTGTATTGAAATTTTGGTGTAGAATTGATGAAGAGGTATTGAATATCTATGTTCTGCCTGATTTGGTGTCCGTCTCGTTTCTTTTTTGTCATTTTGATTGCCTATCTGTATTGCCATTTGGGTGTAGAATTGGTGAAGAGGTATTGAATTTCTATTTTCTGCCTGATTTGAGACTTTTATGGCGTAAGAATACAACAAGCCAAGAAGCGTTGTTTTGTTTTTGCACTAATACGGTCATGATATTCTGTCCCCAGTCTGCTATGAATATCAGTGAATTGAAATTTTGGTGGTCAACCCTTATACAAAGTCAGTACTCTGATGATCCCATAATGTCATACTAGCTGTGCTGTAAAGGGAAGTTCTCGATGAAATTAGGGAATGGGCTACTGCATGTAGAACACCAGTGATTCAACATTGGAGAAATTAATAGTGTTCTGACTCCAAATATATTGGACCCCGGTTGTACGTGGCAAGGAGTAGGGTCGCCTGTCCAACCTCGTGGGTTTTCTCCGGGTCCCCCAGTTTCCTCCCACTGCTAAAGACCCCTACGCGCAAGCGAATTATTGAAATAAAATTAAACCATGTTAGTCCCGAAATGACCTAGTTTGTATCGAGTGGACGTTAAACCCCATTTCTCTCTCTCTCTCCAAATATACTGGATAATGAACCATCTAAAAAAAACACTCCCGGTTAGGCATGGGCAAAGGAACTTTTCGTGAAATATTGACAACAGTCTAAAACCCCTCCTGTACGTTGAAGATTAGGGGGTTATGGGTGTCAGAGACTACGCGACATGATGCAATTACAGACCCTTGTTATTTCACGTGTGTAATAGCTAATCGTGAAAATCTATTTCTTATACCGACTTGGCTGATGAGGAAATGTTGTTTAACATCCATCGACACAAAATAGGTCATTTTTGGCATAACTTATGGTTACACTTCATTTCAATAATATGCTTGTGCGTTGGGGTCTTTAGCAGTGGGAGGAAACCAGATGACCTATGCCCTGGTTACGTACAGCAGGGTTCTGGCATCCACAGCACTTCGTGACAGAAACTTTCGCAGTGGGAGGAAACCCAGGAGATTGGACAAGCCGTAGTCCTTGTCATGTATAAACTATGACACATCCACACCAATCGATTCAATGATAGACCTCATGATGGAATGCGGACGCGTTAACCATTTGGTTCCCCCCCCCCACCGTTCCTTAAAATATGTGACTGGCGCTCCCACAGCTGCTTAGGTAGAAAATGGCATCAAAGTGGTGCACATTACCAGAAATAGATAATCAATTGTGGTATGAAGGATTTTTGCCAGGACAGCAGCGCCATAAGGAACTTATTTAGTATTCCAATTGTTTTGGGTTGTGTTACGTGCAAGTAAATGCGTACATAGTACCTAGGTTTCTCATCCCCTCTGACTATATGTTTTCCTTTGTCAGGTCATCCATCGTCCTTACACTTTTCACAAGGGAAGAACCAAGCTGGAAAATCTGATAATTTCTCGACTAATATGGGGATTGACTATTGGACCTACAGCTTAGCGAGTTGTGGCCTAGGGTGTGCATCCAAATGTAAAAGACTTGAAAAGATATAAATAGTCAAAAAAAGAGCCTCAAACTTTGAAAAAAATTGAAAAATCGTTAAATTTTAATTTTTATTCAAAATTGCTCAATGGATGTTTCTGAATCTTCTGGTACATGAAGTTAAATGCCAACACCACGTTTTAAAACTATCCCGAAATTGATACGTAAACCGGAAGTAGTCGATAAGATATCCGATATTTTGAAAAAAATACATAAAAGTGAAGATTTATTCCAAAAATGCGATTTCTCCTTTGGATATTACCAGATCAAAAGAGCTAAAGTATCGTTCGGTAGCCCAGTGAATGAACTTTCGTATGCTTTCTTCTCTTTAGCGGACCAAAAGAACTAAAGTATCGCTGGATAGCCCATTAATGGACTATCATATGACATCTGAATGATACGATTTAGATGGCTAGAAAATAAATTATGGTACGCCGAAAATCTAGTATTTTCCGTTTTTGGAGCATTTTGAGACGCCATTTTCTCGAAAATGAAAACTACGATTTTTCTTAAAAATTTTTTACTCAGAGTCCAAAAATAAATGCATTGAAATAATATAAGTGGTCCAAAAAGAGCCTCTATCTTGGAAAAAAGTTGAAAAATCCTTAAATTACTGAAAATGCTCTTCTATTTTTCTTTCTTTGGAAAACAGCTGAATGGATTTTTCTGAAACTTCTTGTACAGAAGGTTAGGTAACCAAACAACTTGTTAAAATTATCCCAACAATGATCCAGAAACTGGAAGTAGTCGAAAAAATATCCGATATTTTGAGAAAAAAAACATAAAAAATAAAAAAATGGTGATCTTGCGAAAAAAGTGATTACTACGTAAGATTTCAAAACAACTAAAGTGTCATGGATAACCGGAACAATGGACGATCGTATGACATCTAAATGGTAAAAATTCGCTGGTTAGGCAATATATAATGGGACGCTGAAAATCTAGTATTTTCATTTTTGGGGGCTATTCAGATGCTTTCATCCCGAAAACTTCTCTTTTTTTTCCTTTCTTAAACTTCTGTTACTTAGAGTGCTTACGGTGATCTAGGGTGTGAATCCAAATTTAAAAGCCTCAATATAGTATAAATGGTCCAAAAAGAGCCACAATCTTTGAAAAAAGTTGACAAATTGTTATAGCTTCTCCTAATGGTCTAATGGTATAAGGGATATAACACATTAGTATCAGACTACCAATTATTTGCTAAATATTGTTAAATATCTTCTAATTTTCCTTTCTTTTGATAGGGTGCCCCGAGCTAAAAAAATCTCGAAAACTATTTAAAGTTATGACACTATATCTATATAAACAA